TCATGATATCTTACTTTAAAACGGGCTATGCATTAAGGGAAAAGAAAGGAAGAAAACACATTATCGATCATGACAATCATTGTAACAGTAATTGAACTAAGGAAAATGAAAGAATCGAATGGTAAAAAGTTATTCGATTTCGGATCTAAGGCTCAATAATTTTTCTTTTTTTTACGAATGTCCCTCGTCCCATCCTCTGGTAAAAAATATTGCAGTTTTTTTTAAATATTACAAAAAAGGAGCTGTACCAGGTTTCGAATTTCATTTCGAGTCTGCGATCACGGTGAATGTACTCGTAAGTTGCTGGTACATAAAAAATTATGCACGAAGAAGGCAACGATCTTATAGTCGGCGTTCGCGAGATCGTGGCGATGATTGAATTCGTTCGTCGAGTTTCGTAGAAAAATGTCATTTAGAATGCTTACGTACTAATCCGTGGAAAAAAAAGAAAACAACACAACACGTCGAACTATGGCAATTCACATCACTCTTGTATACAGTCTCAGCTAAGCATGAGAAACGGTAATAAACACAATTCACGTATTCACGATATAATATACATGCGGAAATGTACATTCACGTCAAATCGGCAGACATATGAAATGATCCAAGTAATTATATTCATTATTTTAAGAGCGAATTTTCTTTTTTTTTCTTATTCTTCTTCTATCTTTTGAACACAGTTTAGTGTGGCGTAAAGCATCACCGACAATTTTACCAAAATCACTGGAATACAATTACGGAGACGCTTCACACAAAACGTGTATGCAGCTTCTAAAGTTTATCGAATAAAAGTGGATGTTTTAAAAAATTTTGGTGAAATTGCCGTTAAGCTACGATAAAAGTGATATATAACTCTGGAGTGATAATTAGTTCATTTTGCTTCGCAATATTCGTTACTGAAGTTTAACGCAGATTCCAAGTCCAATAAGAGTTAAGAACAACACCCATCAGTTCGGCATGCCACTGGAAATGCAACTCTATGCAAGTGCCTGAGAATATTTATCTTGATTTTTTCTTTATTTCATATTTTATATTTATACAAATTTAATTTTTCTTTTGTATTATAATCACGGTAAATGTTTCAAAATATATGCTGCGCTTCAATACTAGTTGTTTATGTATTATATCCAAGTCAAACATTTACATACTTGTAAACAACGAAAGAATAACGTTCAAAGAATATTTGCATTATCATGTGCATACCAGTTTAATTGATCAGATTGGATACATGTATAAATTAAAATGAATATATTGTTACATTAAACCATATTCTTCCGAATAAAAATAATATATTACTATTGTACAAACCACACTGGTTGAGTGTTATATAATACTTGTTCCTTCAGTAAATATGTTGTAATATATTATCTTATTGTTTGTAAGAAAGAAAAAAAGGTTCATGTACAGATCTTGTCTTTTATTTGTTCAGGTTTAAAAATTATTCTCGGTAAGACACTTATACATTTCCTGTATTCAACCATTCTGGAAAAACGTAAGTTTTTATTGCACTAATTTATTTAAAAAGCTACGTTTCGCAATAGTTGGATACAACAGCATCAAAGGAACCATTTTTACAAGAAATGATGAGAATCTGATGTGTTTACTTCATTCCTAAAATATTTTGTATAAATAATGTATTAACTAATATTCATAAAATGATTGGTAACATATTGAATGTTTTAATTTTCTAGGACCAAATAAATGCAGGCTTTTAAATTTTTTGTACATAACAGCCTTGAATGAGGCACCAAGTATGGTGTACAATGCATAAGTTGATCCAGTTTTATTATATGGGTAATCAGATCCATTCAAATTCTTTACTAACCTTATCAAGCACGAAAGGCTTCTTTCTGATCTACAGTATTTTATCTTAATTTAGTATCAAAAATAAATATAAAAACTTTTATAAAAGAAAAGTGAAAAATCATTCTAGGTAGTTTCGTTTTTTAATTGCTTGCTTCCCGATAATAAATTTAATGATTTAAAACATGATTTTCAAATTGTTTTGTAAGGTAGTTTGGTTGCATTTCCATTGATAGGCCTTTCAGAACAAAGTCGATACAGTATGTCTCTTGTTACCAGGCATGAAAACCTATACAATTAGGTATACCAATCAGTATGAATTAGTAACTTTTTAAAGAAATCGTTTAATCTATTGGACGCAGCAGGAGTTCTTCTGTCCATTTTTGAGCTTCAACCGAGACTTGGGACGATATTTTTCAAGGTAGGCCAGCTGCTTTGCGTTGATGGCGCCTCGTCTTTTTCTAAAGAAATAAATATAAATATTAAATACCCTTTGCATATTATACGCAGCATTTGTAAACGGCTAATTGTTCACTTACTCTCTAATTAATGCAACCGCATCTTCATACTTTAGTCCCAATTCAATAAGAGCAAGTGCAACTAACACTGGTGCCCTCCCAAGTCCTGCAACGCAGTGCACTGCCACACATGCATCAGGGGACTCGCGGAACCGATTTTTCAGTAATTCAAACCATTCATCGACGACCTGAAATTTCAATTTATTCGTATAATCAACATTTTAATACCTTAATCATGGTCTTGAAAGTAATAGCAAGTATATTTACTTCATTCGGTGGAAATGTGCCATCATCAAACACCAAGTCTATGACATTGATCCCTTCTGCTTTAAGTTCCTCGATTTTGTAAGTTGGTTCGCAGACCCTCACTACTTCTTTCACATTGTGCTTCTTCAGTTCCTAATAAAGTAGCATAGACTAGTTAATACTAATCTATAGCATTTTTCAAACAGTTGTTAAGAGTCGAATGAAAAGTAATGTACTTGAATAAAAGTATGAATGGTCTGATCATTGGGCCGATCAGTAATGAGGAACTTCATATTTTTGTATTCGATTTCGGCGGGCGCCGGCCTGATGTCCTTCACCCTCATGTTGCTCATTTCCCCTTGGACAACAATTGGTGTACTCCTACTTCTTTTGTATTGTTCTAACTCTTTTTAACGATTTTATACAACACTGTTTCTTTTTAGTTTTGAAATGTGCCACACTATATGAAGCGACAAAGATTGGATTTGACAACTTAGCCCATAGATGTCAGTCTTATTGAGTTGTTTTTCATTTAACTAATTGAATACTTTGTTATTTTTTTACAGAGGACAGAACAGTGGGTTTACATGTAGACCTCGAGAAGGGTTGTTGGGGTGCGAATTTCGCTGAAAGAGTGAGGGCTACGTTACATTAGGCGTTGTTGATATGCGATTGATTCCCACTTGGGATCCTTGACTATGATTCGGAAGAATATCTGAAACAAAATTTCATTTCATTGAAATCTTCTGTCAATCTAATTTATAAAATCCTGATAATGTTTCCAATATTTACACTTACCTATTTGGCACTGGGTGCGCCTGGATCAGGTGCGCTCAGTAACTACGATGCTTGCATTTAACAATGTAAATTAATTATTGATTCTAATTAATTCCTCTATGCCTTGTGTGATGACTAGCTGATGATTTGTTGAATTTGAGGCAATGATCCCAATATTATCAAATTTTTTTGCCTGATTCAAATGATTCCCCTTTACTCCTCCTTTAACAATACCTAGCAGGTTCTAGGGTGTTTGGGCGCGTCTCTCTATTTGTGTTGAGCCTGGCAGTATTCTGCACTATCCAGCTGAAACTCCATGTATGTGAGGATGCACTCACCAGGAAACTAAAACATAAATAGAAATACAATGTCAATTATTTAATCAGAATGTCAATTACTCACTAAGTTCAATTGTTTTCAATGCATATTGTATTTTAACCATACGTTTGTCATAAAGAATTACTTTTCGTTTCTAACATAAAGAAAGGTTAAGTCGATATCGTAAAAAAATATTTGACTTAAAATACACATAGAAATATAAATAAGAAACTTATGCGCGTAGCACAGTATTTATTTTCAGACGTTTCCTGATATTTTCGTTATATTTGTACCAAGGAAACAATTGTGGTTTGTTATGCATCTTCTGCACGTGCCAAGTTTAATCTTTGCGCCAATTTCCTCGAGTAGTATTTATCCGTACAATAAATAATATTTGTTACCTGGGAAATTTCGAATGACTGCGTCAATACGCTTCTACGATAATTCATTACGAATACAGCACGCACGAAATTCGTCTTATAAAGAAAATATTCACCCGACCACGCAAATACCTGCGGACCTGCGTTGTCATAATGACATTAGTCGACATCTCGAGACTCGAATACAATCGATTACTAAAGCTAAAGCTTACTACACATTCAACCGTTTCACAATACACACCCATACACACACAATAGCATATATCATCGAGACGTTCTAGAAAATACAAATATTCCATTTTATACTCGCTAATACTTTAGCTTATCAAGTATAATACGATAAATATATTTTTATGAGTTTCGAAAATGTGCGTTCAAATAAAATGTAAAACGAAATAAATAAAGATTATCATTTGAACAAAAATGAATATTCAAGTAATCCTCAATTTATTATTTTTACCAATTTAGAAACAGCTTTGTAATTCGTTTAATATATGAAAAACAAATTTTTTGTTACAGTGTTCTTACAGTGCTAAATTACATTCTGTTACCCCATTATCTTTACACACTTTTTAAGGACGCTGTGGATTATCAGGTTATTATCTACATTCGTTTTACCATTTAATGGTAATTTCAGTTTAGCTAATATTTATCGTGTGCGCAGGATTCGATGACAGTTCACTTCATGCAATAGTTGATAAAAAAATGAGGGGGAGAAAAAGTTAATTGGATATTAAATGTGACTACGTGACCAATGGATTCGATCATTTAAAATCCCGTGCAAGTAAAAGGTGAAATGCTCGATGGAAAAAGTAAAACGTCCGCAATGAGCGTCGCGCCAAGCGTCTTTTAAATTTATCGGTGGCGCTAGTCGCGCGTGATGCGTTCCGATGAGATATTCGAACCATTTCGACTGGCGTCGAACAAAGACGAATTTTCTCTTCGCTTTTGGCACGGGCAGCTTTGTGCCGATGCCAAACGAAACAGACAGTCTCGAACGTGCGCGTCTCGAAGAAGAGCTTCCGTCATTTTATGCATCTGCATTGAGGGATCTGGAATGCTCGTAAATAGAAATGTCTAGGTCAACATTCCGACAATGTATTGCGGTTCTCGTAAAAACTTTGTTCCGATGCGTTCTCCGAAATCGCTCCTGTTTGAAATTCATATATTTTTCCGTTACAACAAAGCGATACCCTCCGAACAGAACTCGCTTTTCCGTTCGAGCATTAAAAACCGTAAATGGGATATTGAAACGTTTAAATGTTCCTGACATTTAGATTTTATTTCGAACATGACATAACATGTTAAGATGAGACCAATCTGCAACGAGACATTTTCCGTTGCGCCACGACGGTATTCAAAATGTCCCGATTGAGTGTGAATTTGTTTTGGTTATAATAATTGATAAACAAAAAGATAAAAAATTTTTATTATCCACATTGCGTGTATTGCATTTTTACATATATATTTTCGGCAATCGCATTTTAATTCATATGTACACGACGAAGTTTTCGAGAACGGGTTCAAATCGATGCTGCATGATTTTCCAAAGGTTATCACGTTGAAGTAACACGTTTAATCATCAACGGCCAGCAATAGACTTTCCGTTTAGGCGGCGCCAGTATGGAGGATCGATAGCATCAAATTCAAAAAATGATATCTTAATTAAAAGATAACATCTGTCCAACTTCATCAAATGTGACCGTGATGGTCATGTAAATGATCATGTATTTCACGTATGGTGTTATCGAATGTATACTACTATTCCAAAGTATGTGGACACTTTTCTAATTCCTGTAACTATGTACTTAAAGAAACAAATGAAATCTTTAACACTAGAACTACCGAGCATTTAGTACGATTAACATGTAATCCCCATAAAAATTGTAATAATGAATTATTTTCAGTTCTTTTAGATATTCATTATAGTATTCATAGGAAATTATTTTCAAAATCATTTGGAATATTCAATGCTTTTAAGATATCAATAATTGCAAAACATAGTGTACTCCTACTCCTAGTTCTAGTGTTAATAAATTCAATTGAACATTATAAGTTCCCTATCCATGCTATTAATAATATCGGCAACTCTAATATCAAAATTTAATTAATCCAAGAACATTTCCCAGAAGTTTTCACTCTCATGAACTCAGAAACGATGATTATATTAATTAAAATTATAATATAACAATTAACTCTTTGCACTTGGGAGGTGATTCTCAGTCACCACTTCATTTGACGCAATAAAACTATATAATCTGATATTTAATGTTCAGTTTTGTATAATGCCTCGATACGTGAAATATTGGAATAAAATAGCTTTGCTCCTCAATGTACTTGTGATTTCCCTTCCTGTTAGTTTCAAAGAATATCGTCTTTGTCTTATCAGAAAACGTTAAATGTTTCTAGTGAGAAACTTCCGAGTTCAAAGGGTTAAATATCATAATATAATAATATACATTAAAAACCATAACAAATTCCACAACAGCAAGCATCCGCGTATCTTCAAGGTGTGTTCCAAAATAAAACAACAAACATCCGTTACCCTCCACATTCTTTTCACTTCAAATCCGAAGTTTTACTGTCCCTGTCATAAAGCCCAGTGCGCGTCGCGTCAGAAACGTTACCTCATGAAAGGAAGCAGCGACGGGTCAACGGAGCGGTTCTCCGGGTGGCAGGTAAAGTATACAGCACAAGAAAAATCGCGCGGGCGGTGCGGTTTGTCGTCGCCGCGTGTCGAGGAGCGTTCGATTCACGGGAAACGCGGCTGCCTTTAATTTCCGGTGCGGTTCGAATTGCGCGCGCGCGCGCGTACGTTGCTGCGGGGGTCCCCGGTGTGATGGAGAATTAGCCCGGCGACTGACTGCTGTCGGCAACCTCTTTTCGCGGGTTCGCCGCGACCAATCGCAAATATAGGCGCCGATGGTCCTCGCGGGGGACGAATCGCAGCGTGGTGCGTCGTTCTGTTTACGAAATCCTCCTTTTACGTAACCGACAGCTCTGAAACGGATGACGACGACCACCACCACCGCGGAACGATGATGAGGCGTCTCGGATGCAGCGGGCCGTTAGGGGCTGGCTATGATAGAGGCGGAGGCTGCGGTATGATGGATAGGTAAAAGTGAGAGCGGCGGCGAGAGAGGCGTCCGCGGATCGACGTGCCGGAATAAATAGAATAATTGGCAGCCGGTCGCGTGTGGGTATCGTCCGACGGAGAAAAGACGTAGGCTGTCCGGAAAGCTAAAAAGTCAGGGAGGCAAGGGGATGCTTCCACTCTCGATGTTCGGACCGCCTCGGTTTTTCACGCATAGTCGTTACTGGCGGCGCGACAGTAACGAAAGACGAAGCGAGACTGAATGCGACGGAGTGAAAGATGTAACGATAGAAAATAAAATTCACAGTGCCAACTTCGGTCTCTTTCGTTACATTTCACTCGTCGTATTCGGTCTCGCTTTCGGCTTACGTTATTGCCACGCGCTAATGATGACTATGCGTAGAAGACTAAGGTAGCACGAACATCGTGAGTGGAAGTGTTTCCTTGCTCCCCTGATCTTTTAGCGTTTAGGACAACCGACGTCTTTTCTCCGTCGGACGGTACACGCGAAACCGTCCGCGTCAGCGGCACGACTCCGCCGCGCGTGAAGGTCGAATCAATCCTGACAATCCCATCGCGCATCGATTATTCAATTCCGCCGGGCCCTCCTGCGATACTCCTGATCCCACTCTGGAAACTGCTTTCAGCACTATGCGCGGCACTAAATTGAGTAGTGAATTATGGAACGCTCCACCGGCGAATTAGTTTTGAAGGTTTGAGCTGGGACGCCACTATTTAACCCTTGCCCTGAATACTCCCAGCCGAAACGATGGAATATTCTTTTGTTTAACATGTTATCTGAAGATTTTTCACTAGAAATATTTTAACATTTTCTGATGAAGTGAAGACGATACTTCGTGAAACTAACTCGAAGAGAAATCACACGCGCATTGAGAAACAAAGCTGTACTATTTCAATATTTCTCACATTTATACATTATACAGAGTATAATATTAAATATCAGACTTTATAGTTTTACTACGAGAAATCAAGTGGTGAGTGAGAGTCACCTCTCGAGTGCAAAGGGTTCACTGGAACTACCGAGCAATCGAACCGACTTCCTTTTATTCTTCTGTAGAGATTACAAGAGTTGATTCATTGAGATTTCCATTGGCTTATATTCTTGTCTGTGCACTGCTAAATCAAGTTATTAACTCTCGAGTGGTCGCGTGAATGGTAACAATGATCCATTGTTATTTTTGCAACAAAACATAATATTTGTACGTCGCTAATTTCTAATGTTTCTGTGGTATCTTTGTAGGATATATCCCAGACGAACTCCAATTTTGTAGGATATATTCCCGAACGAGTTTTCGATTGTAGGATTCTTACGGAACGGGGAGATTGGTTCTCTAGTAACACTTCCTCTATGATATAATATTAAATATATTTGTACTGATATCTAAACGTTTGCTCGCCAATCACACGCCAAAGTATCGCACAAAAGTCTCCCGCCTAAGTCTCGCACAAAATGTCTCTCCCGAAACACGCACCTACCAGCTCGCTCGCTAATCGCATGCAATAGTCTCGCGCCCACGCATTCCCACTTGCTT